TTATTACATGGAAATTAATATTCAATGAAAATAAATTAGAAAAAAAATGTGATTGCCTTATTGATAAAAATAAAATGAGGGAAATGAAAAACAATAGCAATGTCATATTAGGCTGCGTATTCCAAAATATGCATTCGGCAATAAAAAGTATAATGGATAATATTAAAATAGCTACGTTTCAGTTTTGGAATTTAATGCCATTCAACAATATCAATAACATCTGAATAGGTAACAAAATCTTATAAAACAAAATAGCAGGAACACACAACAAGATTGTTACAAATCATATTATTTATACTTTTCATAAGACATTTATATTAGGCCTATTATATTTTTAACACTACATTCTTAATCTTCTTCATTAGTGAAGAATAAGAATAAGAAGGATATAAATTAATAGTATTTCAACCACACTATATTCTTCATATTCATTGCCGAAGACGCGTTTTGCTCAATCCAGAGCTCTTCAGGCCGGATGGGATACAACGAACATAGGCTTAACATAAGTGTCATAAGCCACTTATGTTAGGCCTATTATATTTTTAATACTACGTTCCTAATCTAGTACCTATATAGTATTCTGACCGCAACTGTGTTCGTTGTATCCCAGCCGGCCTGAAGAGCTATGAATTGAGCGAAACACGTCGTCAGTAATGGATATGACGAATTTAGTGTGGTTGAAATACTATTGATTTACACTCTTATAATCCTCGAAAATCTCCAAGGAACTAGATAAAGAATGTAGTGTTTAAAATTTAATAGGCCTAACATAAATATCTTATGAGAATTATAATTAACATAATCATGCTTTGTCAGCTTGTAAAAGGCGTTCACACCATAGCAATTGTTGTTGTTACAAATCTTCTGTGATTCATATTCACCTTTAATTAAAATTTGTAGATGAAATAAGTGTTGAACACAGCGTATTAACAAATAAAATCATTAAATTTCATCTTCAGCCTACTTGCATGTACAAATTGAAAGTGTATGTTCAACTTGTAGTCTCATGTATAACTTCAAATCGAAATAAGTTTTAAGCTTACCTACTATTATCTCGATCTAGGTTTTGTTTGAAAATTCTGAGATTGTTGTCAGGTGTTATATGATGGTAAATTATACACTATAAATATTATTTTCTGACAAGAAATGAATAAAAAGCCTATAACCCGAGTGTTCTCGAATGGTGGACTTTTCTTCTTCAGGGGCAATCTGGGAATGGTGGGGT